CAGGGGTGGATCCCATTCCAGGGGTGGATCCCATTCCAGGGATGGATCCCATTCCAGGATTCCCACCTACAGGGCTGGATCCCATTCCAGGGCTGGATCCCATTCCAGGGCTGGATCCCATTCCAGGGATGGATCCCATTCCAGGATTCCCACCTGCAGGGGTGGATCCCATTCCAGGGGTGGATCCCATTCCAGGGGTGGATCCCATTCCAGGAGTGGATCCCATTCCAGGGGTGGATCCCATTCCAGGGGTGGATCCCATTCCAGGAACTCCTCCCACCTGCAGGGGTGGATCCCATTCCAGGAGTGGATCCCATTCCAGGAGTGGATCCCATTCCAGGAACTCCTCCCACCTGCAGGGGTAGATCCCATTCCAGGAGTGGATCCCCTTCCAGGAGTTTCTCCCACAGCAGGAGCTGGGATAACCCCAGGCAGGCCCAGCCCTCCCAGGATGGCACCACAAGGGACCCGAAATCCCCACACCTGCTTTTCCCTGGATTTTCCAGAGACTCCAGCCTTGATGTGCACCCACAGCTCCTCAGCCCTGGCGCCTCTGGAGATCCCAACCTCCCTAAAAATCCCAAATCCGCTTTGCTGATGGCCCATTTTTAACCACATCTCCCCCCAAATCTTCTGCCAAGCCCAGGAGGCTGCACTGGAATTAACTGGGAAGGAAAAAAAATCAATTCCCAAGGGATCTGGGGCCGTGGGGAGGAAGGTACAGCACAGGCACAAATCTTCCCAAGGAACTGTCAAACTATTTGCAAAAAACTGGAGACAAGAAAGCTCTTGACTAGACAGGAAGGAGAAAATGAAGACATCAAAATATATAAATATATATATATATAAAAAAAAAAAGAAAAGAAAAAAAAAAAAAGAAAATCAGGCTTTTTGGTGGCAGAGTGTTCTCTGAATTTACATTTCCATGGGAAGGCAAAACAGCAACTGGCAAAGGGAATGAGGGAGGACAGGAAAAAGCAGAGATACTTGAAAATAATAAGGAAATTTGGAAATATTTAAGAAGTGTATTACCTGTTTGATTTTTTGAGCTCCCCACAGCTGGAAAAACAAAAGAGAATGTTAAATGTAAAAAAATACCAGTGTAGTTTTATCCCAAATATTCATCTTTTAGCTGCTGTTGTAAACAAACAGGAGGGATTGGGACAAAAACCTCATTTTCTGCAGCCACCAGGATGGATTTAAAGCTCCTTTACACACCTGAGCTCCTTCACAGCTGCGTGGGCAGCAAGAGACAATATTAAACTGGTATTAAATGGCAGAAAGAAGAAGAAGAGCCAGAATTCAGAGCTTTAAAATCCCGAATTCTGTGCTGCAGGGAGATCTCAAGGTAAATTTAGCACTCCCTGGATGAGCTTCCCGTGGCAATGCAGCCTCGCTGGGGGCAAGGTGGGTTCCTGCAGGGAACACAAAGCTCTTCCAGCAACCACAACCAACAGCCAGCACTCTGCAGGCTGAAACACACCGGGAGATGCTCAAAGAGAAGCAAAAATCTCCTTGAAATCTCTCACTGTTGCTCTCCAAACCCCCAAATGCGGCTCAGAGGGTGGGGATGGGTGGGCAGCGAGGAGGAAACATCCTGGGAGAGGGGCAGGTGGGGACAAGGAGCACCCAGAGCTGCCCCTTCCTGCTCAAAGGGGTTCCCTGCACACCTGAACCCAGTTCCAGCCTCAGACCCCAAAGCTGTGCCCCGTCCCAGGGCAGGGTGGAGGGCAGGACTCTGAACGTCCCAACAGAAGTTGGGTTTTGCTGTTCCAAACTCGTGTTCAGCCCCAGCCCCAGCACCTCTGCCTGGGTTTGTTCCTCCCTCAGGTGCTTGGAGCTGCAAATCCACCCTTGAACCTCGGTTTCAATCTGAAAAAGCCCCAGTTTCTCCGTCAGCCAGGCTGCTTCCCTGGCAAGGCTCCTTTGCCAATCCCTCCCCACCCTCGTGGCTCCTTCACTGCTCTCCAATTTGTCAACATCCTCTCGAGTGGAGGCCGCCAGGAGCCTGGGGAATTATTCCAAGGAGAGCTGTGCCGGAGCCAATCCCAGGGCAGGAGAACCTGGGGAGTTCTGCTCCTGCTGCTGCTGCTGAATCCCAGGCTGCTGATGGCTCTTTTTGGCTCACGGTTCCCCACCAAAAGCCATCCACACCCTGCAGATCAGGTGTTCACCCTGCTGAGCTCACCACTCGTCCCTCACCCCGGCTTTATTGCCATTCCCAAATAGAAATCCATTAAAATGCTGTTGGAATGAGGTAATTAGCCTGCTATAAATGGCATTAATTGGCCCGTTGATCCAAACACGCCCAAATCTCACTCCCAGTTCACCTCACAGTGAAGCTCTGAGATCAACTCCACTGCTTGTGATGAGGATCTGAGGATGGAAATGTCACGTACACAGCGGCTTTCTCCCGAGGGAAAATTCCCTTCCCAAGGAAAATCATTCTTGCCCCTTTTCCAGAGGAACACAGAGGCTGGGGGACACAAAGGACAATCCTTGTGGGTGGTGAAGACCAGCTGGGTCTGAATCCCAAAACCCAAAGGGAAGGAGGCTCCACGTCCAGGCAGTCAGCAGATCTCCAGCAGCTGGAGAACTTCCAAGGGGTGCAGGTGGAATTCCTCGGGCTCCAGGTGCCTTCCCAGCACGTCCCAGTGACCCCGGGGCTGCCCCCGTCGCCTTCAGCCGGGCTGGGAAACAGAACCGCCGGATTTTCCTCTCCAACTGCAGGCACTGACACCAGCAAAAAGGAAGAGGGATGGTTTCTGAGCCAGCACGAGGGCTTTTTTGGTCAAATTCTCTAATTTCATTAATTGATCCCAATATTTATGCCTTTCCCTGCTGCAGTGCAAATATTGTTAGAACACGCGGTTTCATTACTTCTCCCAAAGAGACTTCACAAGATGCACCTGATGAGTCACCTCAGGATTCTGCCAGCTCATTTTCACTTCTTTCCCCTCTAATTCCTGTTCTGTCTGCAGCGTTTTCCAGCAGCTCCAGCTCCCTGACGAGTCCTGCCAGCCTCTCCTTTGGGTTTTGCTGGGATTTCATTCCACCCTCCCCGGCCATCCTGGAGGAACAGCCGAGCTTCCACCTCCTCCACCCCGCCGGGAAACCGGGGAATCTTCTCTGGAGCACAGGGAACGACTCCAGCTTCGTGCTGGGTTTAGATTTCAGTGCAGGATTGCTGGATCAGCCTCACCAGGAGGCTCTCCTGGGACGGAGGATTTTCCTTGCTCTGCCGCCCCTCGGTTTGGGTGCCTGGGGTGGGATTGGAGCAGGGAAGAGCAGAGGGCTGGAGCAGCGTTATCCCAACATTCCCCTCTCCAGCTGCATCCCAAGCAGGCAGGAATGGGCTCTGGGGCCACTGCAACCTTCCCTGGGTCAGATCAGAACAGGGAACCACCTGGATCATGGATCAGAGCAGGGAACCACATGGATCAGATCAGAGGGGAACCACATGGATCAGATCAGGGAACTACATGGATCAGATCAGGGAACCATGGATCAGAGGAACCACATGGATCATGGATCAGAGGAACCACATGGATCAGATCAGGGAACCACATGGATCATGGATCAGAGGAACCACATGGATCATGGATCAGAGGAACCACATGGATCAGAGCAGAGGAACCACATGGATCAGATCAGGGAACCACATGGATCATGGATCAGACCAGGGAACCACATGGATCAGACCAGATCAGATCAGAGGACCCACACAGGGTCCCTCCATGGACAGGCAGGAATCAGCTCCAGTGGTGCACAAGAGGTCTCAGATCCACCTTTCCAGGACTCCTGGAAGAGATTTCCAACCAGCCTCTCCAGGATTTCTCTACAGTTTTTTCCAGGAAGAGTCACCACTTCTGTCACCACCTTGAGCAAAGCCTTAAAGCCCTGAGCTCGGTGGTCCAGCACAGGAGGGACCTGGAGCTGCTGGAGGAGCCCAGAGGAGGCTCCAGGAGGAGCAGAGGGATGGAGCAGCTCTGGGAGGAGAGGCTGGGAGAGCTGGGATTGTTCCCCTGGGGAGGAGAAGCTTTGGGGTGAGCTCAGTGTGGCCTTGCAGGGCCTGAAGGAGCCACAGGAAACCTGGAGAGAGACAATTGCCAAGGGCTGCAGGGACAGGAGCCAGGGAATGGCTTCCACTGGGAAAGGGGAGATTGGGCTGGGATCTTGGCAAGGAATTCCTGCCTGGGCTGCAATTCCCAGATTTCCTCCGGCTGCCCCTGGATCCCTGGGAGTGCCCAAGGCTGGGTTGGACATTGGGATTTGATCTGGGACAGCGGGAGCTGACCCTGCCATGGCTGGGGGGGCTCTGGGTGGGCTTTGAGTTCCCTTCCCACCCAAACCATTCCAGGATTCTGGGATTTTATGAACTCAGGGACTGAACATCACCTTAAATATCACTGGGATGTTTCAAGCAGGGTCTCAAAGACCACCAGAATCTGAAGAGAACCAAAGCCGTGGTGAGGAGATGGAGACTGGAATAAATCTTGGGAATAGATGTGATCTTTGCTTGTCAGGACATTCATTAGCAGTCCTTATTTAGCAGCAGAATTGCAGCTTAGAGATAGTTTTTTTTAAAAAAAAAAAAAAAGAATTTATTTAAAGAATCCATCCAGCCCCAATCTCTTCACCAACACCTGTCACTATAAAAACAGCACGGAGGGTTCCAGTTCTTAATGGATGAGCCTCCTCCTATTAAACACGGCAACATTTCACAGTCCTGCACTGGGAATTCATTTGTCACCCCACCAGAAAAACCTTCTGCCTTATTTCTCATCCAAAGCAATCCTCCTTCAGCCTGAAAGCCCCCGGTGCCACCCTCTGACAACTGATCCTGAGTCCATGGGCGCCTGCTCCAGCCAGGAACAGCTCCCTGGAGAGAAGCCCTTATTGATTAATCACTCATTAATCAATCACTCCTAATGACAAAGCACAATTATGGACAAAGAACTAATGAGGAGTCACAGGGGAGATGAGCCCAAGCTGGAGAGGGAACCCCGAGGTTTAAATCCTGCAGAGACCCTTGGGTGGGGTCTGCCTGGGTGAGACTTTACACATCACACAACAAAATCCCCTTTGTAAGGGTCGGGTTGAAGAGGAAATCACTGAAAAAATGAATGTTTTTAGTTAATTTATTTCATCTGTCCAGGCTGTTCCCTTGGTGCTCCAGCAGTAATCTGGGAATGAAGGGGAAAATCTGGGAAATGCGGATTTTAGCGAGGTAGCAGCCGGGAGTTTGCACCCCGTCAGGAACTGCCAGTGGTTTCACACTCCGGGGGCTGGGAGCTTTATTAAAGCACAGCTCCCATCATCCAGCCCACACTGAATTCCAAAGATTGGCTGGAGCAGAAGGTGGGATGCAGCAAAGCTGCTCCTGGAGCACACCGAGCTCCCTTGCTGTGCCCTGGGGAGGGACAGCCTCCAGCCCAGATGTGCTTTCCCAATAATCCCACTTGTTTAAATGATTGAAATAAAGGGGGAAAAGAAATAATGGCCAAGTCCAGCTGCTCACAGATATGGAATCTGCTGTCTGGCATTCCTGGTAAACCTGGAAAACCAGGTAACACCACCTTATGTCTCTTCTTGTTCCTCACGGGAGATCTCCCCGCTGGTTTTTACAGCCCTGATCCCCAAATCTTTGCATGAGAAAGGTTTTGGTTCTCCAGCACCAAACAAAGCTCAACTGACCCCAGGAGTGGGATAAGTCACAAAGGGCCCTGTTGGTTTCTGCCCTTGATTTTCTGCACAGGAGGCACCTGAGGCTCTTCTCGGACACCAAAGGAAAACTCCTTTGTCACTCTGAGTCACTGAGAGGAATCAGAGATCCAGGGAATTGTTTGGGTTGGCAAAGACTGAAGACAATGACACCCAACCATCCCCAGCCCTGCCAGGGCCACCACAGACCACTGTCCCCAAGTGTCACATCCACAGGGCTGTGAAATCCCTCCAGGGACGGGCACTCCAAACCTCCCTGGGCACTTCCAACTCTTTACCAGCCTTTCCAGGAAGGAATTTCCCCAATATCCACCCTGAGCCTCCTTTGCTCCAGC